TAATTATGCTAATCTCCTCTAGCGTGCATGAGCAGCTGGATACGAACAGGTGGAATTTACACAGCTCATTTACACACTTTTCCTGAAGATAGAAGAGTTTGTTGAATCTGACGTGACATGTTCGTACGAACCCTTCGTACGAACAAAAGTAAGAGAAATTTAGGATAAGAATACGAACATGTTTTTGCATGAGGCCCCTTGTCTTTTTCCCAACCACAAGTTCTTCACAGTTGTTTTTTTTATCTTCCTTCCCCATTTCTTTTTAAAGTCTGAACATAATAATTAAAGCAACTATGTCAGTTGTTTTGAAATTTTCCAATATTACATGTTATGTATGTAATGGCTGAAGAAGAGAAAATTATTCTTATATATTGACTCTACTGCAGTCTTGTAAACTTATGTATAAAACAAAATGTGTATATCTATTTATTTCAGTAGAACACTCATGAGGTGTGTTGGGTTAGGAGGTCCCTGTGCAGAAGTGTTTCCTCAGCTCTTGGAAAAGTTGCTAATTCGGAACTGTTTTAGTGCTGATGACAGATAGTGTGAGTTCTCTGTTTCAGCACCTGGATAAATTTGACATATCCTGCTGTTTTCAGGTAGAATGGCTGAGAAATGAGGATTCTCTGCGTTTTGGTGATGATGGTGTGATGAACACGAAAGGTGAACATGATCTAATCATCTCTGAAGCTCGACTCTCCGACTCTGGGAACTACACCTGCGTCGCTAGCAACATCGTGGCCAAGAGACGAAGTGCCACAGCTTCTGTTGTGGTTTACGGTAGGCTATCAGATATTCACTAGGTTTTACTCTGGTCCTCCACCACAGCTGAGCAACTTTAGACCAGAGGTTCACAAACTGGGGTCCCAGGAGCCCCAGGGTTCCATGAGAGTTATCATGGGGGTCCTCAAAAAATGTCACTAAATTGTTAATTTGGTTCTTCTTTTAAAAATGCATGAAGAACAATGAACTTATAAATCAACCATAACAAACTAAATAAAAATATATATTCCCATGTCTTGTAAAACAGCAAGGGGTTTATGTGACCAGGGGTAGACATAAGGATATTTTTCAGGTTGTCCAGCAGACAACCTGTTGACAAAACCTGGTTCTCCGCAAAACATTTTGGTTGTCCAAAAGAATCTCAAGAAAAATGTAATTTAATAAATATATTGTTCTGTAGACAAAGTTTATTATATATTATAATTGTTCTCAGTCAGCCAGGTTGACAGGGTCTGCGTGAATAAAACTTCCTCATTCTCTTCTTTGAAATAAAATGTTACTAATAAAATCTAAAGGTTACCCAACATTCATAAACTTCTTTAATCAAGGTCTTTTTTTTCTTGGTTGTCCACAGGACAACCAGGAGATAGGTAGGATCTGGTTGTCTGAAATGAAAATAGGTTGTGTCGGACATCCTAAACAATTATTATTATTATTATTTTTTATTTACTGTTATTTTACCAGGCAAATCCCATTGAGATCTCAGATCTCTTTTTCAAGGGCGGCCTGGGCCTGAAGGCAACCTATTGTACATGTTTTTGTGTTGTGGGGGAAACCGGAGTACCCAGAGAAAACCCACGCAAGCACGAGGAGAACATGCAAACTCTGCACAGAAAGACCCCAGGTCCGAACCGGGGATCAAACCCAGGACCTTCTTGCTGTGAGGCGTCGGTGCTAACCACTGAGCCGTCGTGCCGCCAATGGTTATGTCTACCCCTGGAGGGGGTCCCTGGAATTTTTATCACTGTTGTAAGGGGTCCCCAGACCCAAAAGTTTTGAGAACCCCTGCTTTAGACAACACAAAAATGATTAAATTTGCTGTCAGTAGCTGAGAGTCATGTTTAACTCCTACTTTAGGCACTAACTGATTGTGGAAGATTTGTTTTTTAAAGTTTGCATTTATCTATTGCAGTTACCTCTACCTGTCTGTTAGAAAAAATATATCACGAACATGAGATTTATAAAAAAAAAATCTCAAAGTAGTATCAGGGTGAACATTTACAGTATTGTAAGAAAATTAAGTGTTCATTCACTGAAATCGAGGCGAAACCACATAAATGTCGAATAGATTTAAATGTGAAGAGAATGAGGACCATACAACACCAATGACTGGAAATGAACGGAGGTTTAATGCTCTCAATGCAAGCAGGAAACCCACGCTGAATGAAAAACCGGAAATGCCGGTACGTTCTTCACTGCCTGCTCCGCCCACTACTGGCCTACGGCTGAATCGCAGGCACTCTGAGTAGAAATGCTTACCTAATGTTTTATAATCGGTTTCTTATGTGCTGTGATAATGTTTCAGGCATATATCTAAGCTATTTTAATCAAGACATAACAATAGTTAAACAATGGATTATAAAAGTCAATACTTAAAAAGGAAAACTAAGAAAATGGTGTAGTTCTTTTAAAATCAGTATCTAACATGACTAATAAATTTCTTCAGTATAACACAATAACTTTTGCAGTCAATTCAATTCAAGATGGCCATCACAGGTGATTGAGCTTAGAAAACACAAAGTCTATAGCTCAGCCTGTTTTAAAGATAGTTATCTACACTTTACACTATCTATACCAGTGTTTCCCAAAGTTGGGGTCGGAACCCAAAGTGGGGTCCAGAAACATCAAGGTGGGGTCCTGAAAATATTTTCTGAATTAAATACATTTTTGCCTTAGTTGTTACAAAGGAGTGAGGTTAGTGTATTTAAAATGGATAAATGTAGTATAAAAATATTGTTACTATGCCCATGTTTTGTTGACCTGATACAAATGTGTATCATCCAAAAACAGTTGTGGGCTCAGGTCTCTGCTGCTGTTATTTTGTGGGTCAAAAGCTGAAAGGTTTGGGAACCACTGCACTTTGGTTCCCAAAGTTGGGCTTGGGACCCAATTATGGGTCATGAAGCACCTTGGATAATCTCCAGAAATCAATTTAAAGGGTAATAAAATAATTGCTGATGTAATATTTTCCCTATAATTATTACAAAAACACAAAATAAGTAAAAATAAGTATTTATATTTGTGTATAAGCTGTTTAGATTGTCAAAAAACCTGTGTTTTTAGGGTTATTAACAAAGTTCATGTGCTCAGACCAGTAATATTTGGGGTTGCAAGTTTTTGACATGGATATTTTGTGGGTCAGAAGACAAAACGTTTGGGAACCACTGATCTATACTATAGTCATCTACAAGACCGATGGTCGAACCTCAGATTTTAGGAACAGTGGTATGCACAGATATTTTGGGGGACTAGTGCTCCAGTGAATAAAAAGGACAACTTGAACGGTGCTCGGAATCACCAGCTGTCCTAGTAGTGTTAAATATTTTACAGACACATCTTGTACATCGGGTTCATGTTTCAAATCAGCAGCCAAATGTCGTCTGATGCAGAAGGCAATATTCAACACTCTATAGGTTGATTTTTGTAATAAATTGGCAACAACAAAGAGAAGTAATGGCAATTTGTGCATACTTTGGTGTCGATAAAATAACCATCAAGTTTGTTTACACAACATTGCTCCTGGCTTTCTTTCTCTATGAAGGATCTTCTTTCCATCTGTCCCTCTGTTTATGTTTTTGTCCATGCTCTGGATTCTGACGTTTCAGCTTTATCTGTCTGACTGGTATTTTCTAATGATTTGTCTCCCTCATCTTCATCGTGTTTAAAGATGTCCTCCTACAGGACAGCATAGAGCTGCCTCTCTGCTCTACCTGTCTATAAGAACATTAATATGAAACGTCTTGGTAACAAGAGTCAGTGCAATGAGTTATAACATTAAGACGCACCAGACTGTAACTCACTGTCATGGTCATCATTTAACACTCTAATACAGGGGAATTAAACACATTTACACAAAGGGGACTAAATTAAAAACTTGATCAAAGCCACGGGCTAATTACTGTCAATATTTATTGAAGAAATGTTATATAACAAATTATTCATACAGAAATCAAAATGACCTTTTCTAAATTATGTTTTATGTAGCATTTTGAACATATGTGTGGGTCTGAACTGTAATTTCATTGTGCTCTGTACAATGACAATAAAGCTCTATCTAACTGATAGATTTAGAAAGACCTCATTAGCATTTATTTCTTATGTAGTACTCTCTATCAAAAACTTTTAATTTCTAATATCTTAGAGATATGTGCAATTACAGTCCAGCAAATCAAGTGAAAAAAAACTCACAAAAAACAAAAACAAAACAATTATTTTACTTAAAAATAAGAGAATACAGAAAAAGATACCTAAAGTTGATTTTCTGATATCAGCACATTAAAATAAAAGATTGCTGAAAAAATGTTGCATAGCCAGTGGTGGGCAGTGCTAATCCAAAAATTAGCTCCGCAATTTCTAAAGCGTTTATGAAAATATTTAGGTCCACAACTTCAAAACCGCATGTGCCATAGAAAAACTAACGGAAGCTAATTTTAAAGCACAAGTTCAATTTGACACTCAATAGCTAGCATTAATTCATGTACAATATATGTACAACACTGCCAACTAGTGGTGTATGAACTCTTTTACAGCTTAATTCTACAACAGCTGGTTGCTGGGGATGTGAGTTCCTGAAACAGACCTTTAGCTCCTGGTGTAAAAATTAAAAAGTTGTTGAGGATTGCTAGTTCGGCTGATTCTTTGTCTTTTTATTTTGTTTGTTGTAGATTTTTCATTAAAGAAGCATCAATAAAATAATTCTAAAACTGTTTATTGGAAAACTGAAGCAATGCATTCTGGGTACATGACGGATTTGATTTGTGACGGGAAACGAAAGCACGAAGAACAGGAAACTATCTGTACTTCAAAATAAGAGCTTGGATTTTAAAGTTTTCCATGTAGTTGCTCCAGTTGACCACTAGATGTCAGTCTTCATCAGCATAACATCTTTAAATTATTTCTGAGTCTCTAACCCTGTTGGCCGATTGCTTCGACCAATTACATCAAGTATTGAGCTCCAGCATTTAAACTTTTTTTAAAGGAGCTCCGACTGTAAAGTAAAATAAATCAATACATACAAAATTTTAGTATGGATTACAAACGTTTACTGTTTTAGCTGGGACAGGGAGTTCTAAACACTGCCTTCCTTCTACGTAAGCAGACACAAAGCACTGTGGGAAATCAGAACCGTGACCCAAAGCAACAGTCAACAGGATGCATACCTTTCCAATAAGTGTGTTTATCTGGGTGGGGTGCTGTTGGATAGATCATGTGTTGTGATTCATTGACAGCCATCCTTCTGCTGTTCAAGATAATGATGATTGGTAGACAATTAGTTATTAGAGGTACTGCATTTTAATTTTAGAAAGCGCAAATCGGCTTATGAATTACAAAAATGAGTAAGACCACTAAAGCGCAAATGAAATTTTTAGCTCCGCAATAAGTGGATTTGCGCTTTAGCGGGCTGGTGCCCACTACTGGCCATAGCGAAAGTAGGAACAAGTCGCTGACGCACAAATTGAGAAAAAAAAAGGAAAAACCATCAATTTTTGAGAAAATATTGATTTTATGTTTTTACAAAATATGCTAGTTGAAGTTAAGAAGGATCCACTTCATGCAGGGTCGAATAATGGGCTGAGTCGGATTTCCAATGGGCGTGGTTATGGTTGTGGTCAGGAAGTATGCCGGATGACAATGTTATAATTCATCGTATCTCCTTTTATTTATTTCCTGGAATAAAAATCTACATCTATTGCCAACATTCCCATTTCTATGAAACATTGCCGGTGACCGAAGAGTGAAATCAAATTTATTTTGTCATCAAGCAGTCTAGCGAAATGCTACATGCTGAAAACAAACAAAGCCCACCCAGCAATATTTCGTTTATTTTATGCGCAAATCATCTGTCAGACGCAGTCCTCACTGCACACTGTTAATAATTCAACTTTGCCTACACTATCAAGTTTGCCCATGGATTTTATACAAAGTAACTGTTGATAAATCAAGCCCCTTAGTGTAAAGGCATGGCATGAAAGATGGTGGGCAATTTGCATTCCTTCAAATATGGCTAGGGTTCTGATTTATTATGGATCTGCATGTAATTGTTTGGTTCTGCAAGTAAAATACAAAATAGATATTATATATACTCATTACAACATTTTTCACAAACTGCCACCAAAACCAAATTTCTTGAAAGAATTTATATGGAAGGCATCTGAGAGTGGAAATTTTTCACATTTTAGTTTAATGGAGTACCCAAAGACTTAAAAAAAACTTACAGGCATATTTACAAGAATTCTATTGAAAAGAAAGCTGCAAAGTGGTCAGTACCACTCTGCAGCTTTTATCTGCCAACACTAAACACCTTCTTCAAAATTCTTTGCATCACTGCAGGCCGTCAAACACTGTTTTTCACCGCGTCATGGCCTTGTAGAGGGTGAAACTATAATGTTAGGTTTGCTGCACATTTCTTTTACCAAAGCACAACCTTGATTGAAGTGTTTCTGTGCTCATTTTTCTGACCTCCCATCATATTTTTCTTCCTTTTTTTTTCATAAAATGTAGCAGAATTCATCTGATTTTTGTATACCTTTTCATCAGTTCATTCTCCAATCTTAACACGTTTGCCAACGGTTTGCTTCATACATAGACATCCTAAATTACCACAGTGTATAATTACTTTTTTTTGTAGTAATTTAGTACCTTTTCCTTGTACCTCTTAGTGAACGGAGGCTGGTCGTCATGGACAGACTGGTCGCCCTGTAGCGTACGGTGTGGTCGAGGTGTGCAGAAACGATCTCGAACGTGCACAAATCCAGCTCCCCTCAACGGAGGAGCATTCTGTGAGGGACTGTCTGTGCAGAAGAGCACCTGCAGCACAGTGTGTCCAGGTAGGAGCCACCAAACACTTAAATATGAGTCATTCACGACCAAAATATAAACTTAAACATGACAAGAAACAGAGCATAATGGGTTTTTTTCTCACTCACATTAAATTCATTATTTTCCTGAATCTAGAAATCATTCCTGATCACGCAGGGATCAAACAAACAAGTCCTTCACACATGCAGGAAGTAATTTGCATCTGTTTAACATGTGTTAATGGAGGTGTGTCAAGGGAGGTGTCTCACCTGTGCTCAGTTATATGTTAATTGTGATGTACAAAAGAAATGTGTGTGGATGCAGGCGTACGAATGGTTTGATTCATTGGGATTTTTTTGTGCGTTCGCCATTTTCTGGATTTGACTGTACATCATGTTTCAGTAAGAAATCCACGCAAGTCTTTGTACATGAGGCCCCTGTAGTCCTAATAGGGACCAAAGACTGGTCCTAATATGGTGGAACTCCATTTTTGTGTTGGGGATTTGGTTTAGGACTAAAGGCTGAGTCACACTAGAAGATTTTAAAACAGTCGGCCAATTTTCAAAGACTGATAGAGCCCACACATGAGGATAAAAAAATCATGGATCTACCAGGTTTGGTCCTACAGCGTGTGGTGTACAGCCACATGGCAAGAGACAACACACTACACACGAAAAGATATTTCATTCATGAACTGTCAGATATTAAATCACACGAGACTTCCTGAAATCTTACGAGAATTCAGATGCCCGAGGAAAAATCTCACGTGGTCTCCAGAGACGTGAGTAAATAAACATTTGCAACAAGGAAGAAACAATGTGGATCGCTTGTGGACGATTTTTACCAGAAGAAAAACAGTTCCATAGGACTTTTAACATCCAGCAGACTTTCTGGTGAGTCATGACAATTTTTGTTTACGTCACCTCGCTTTCTGATTGGCTACACGTCTCATTCACAGGCTGAGAGTTCGGGTGAACACCACACACACTGTGATATTGGGCCAAAAAATCTAACATGTTGAATATCCCTGATTTGAGGTCAGACCGGTCCTGACGTCCTTCCGAGCTGATTAGATCACTCTTAACTCACCACCCACGGCGGGAATGTCTGCTATAATTATCTTTAGAGCCATCACGATAATCTGGACTTCCTTCAGTTTGTCGGAAGGGCAAACATCGGCCTGATTTTCTTGTAGTGTGATGCCGGCCAAAGGTGTGAATTGAGTTTAAGTCAGTTTTAGGGTCAGGTAGGTACCTGTGAGGTTAGCCTTAGTCTTAGGGTTGGTGGTCAGGGTTAGGCTGCAGAAAATACTGGAAATGAATGGAAGTCAATGAATGGTCCTAATAAGGATAGAAATACAAATGTTTGTGTGTGTGAGAGTATAACTCTTTGCTATCTGGTGTGGACGACGTTTGATCATTTTCCCGATACCCTCAGTCTAGTGAGCACCCACTGTTCCTTATGGGGACAAAAGTCAAGTTCCCATTGGGGAAAATGTTGTTGGTGGGTCAGGGGTCAGGTTTAGGACTAAGATGTGAATTGAGTTTAGTTTAGGTTTAGGGTTAGTTATGTACCTGTGAGGTTAGGTTTAGGGTAAGGGGTCAGGGTTAGGCAATAGAAATGACCAGTAAATGAATAGAAGTCAATGCAAAGTCCACATAAGGATAGAGGAACAAATGTGTGTCATCTGTCTAAAACAAAATATTTAATGGGTGACCATTTACAATTGATTACTTTTTTGAAGAAAACCCCTTTCAACTTGGTCACCACAGCAAACAATTTTCTGTTTCTCTGTCAAAAATACAAATATTGAACTAAGGTTGAGTGGTAGTAGCTGAGAGTCATTTTCAACACAAGCACTAACAGGTCATTGATAAGATCTCCGTGTTGAAATTTGGCGTTAACTTTTTGAGTTAACCCTGTTCGTCTTTTAGCCAAATACTGTATGTCGTGAACCACTGGACAGCTTTTAATAAAACTCTTAGAAAAATATATCAGATGATTATCATTAACTACTGTAATTAACTTTAGGAGTCACCTCAATTCACAATGGCCAATCAAACAAAACCAACACAAACATGGTTTAAAGTCCTGCAAAAACTTGATGTTGTGGTAGTTGATACTCATTCATAACCCAGATTTAACAAATCTGAAGATCTTACCTGAGACCTTACATAATATTTTAAAGACTTAACTAAAATTTTGAAAACTTGATCATTTTGGAACATAAGTTCATTTTAGTTTAAAACTCGGACATAAAATTCGGTGAGTGATATACACGTTCCTTAAAGAAATACTAGGCCTTTGTTTTAAAGGGCCAGTATTTTGTGTTTCTCAGGTATATTGTTCAATTCTATTTCATAATAAAGTAACTATGTCACCTTCAGTTGTTATGAAAATGCAGTCATTTTGTATAAATCTTCAATTAATTTGACTTTGCATCATAGCTGTTTTTAACAGAGAGGACAGAGTCCTTGAAATTGGCCTCTGTCTCTTTAAAAAGCTTCCCATTAATAGATGGGCACTAAAGGACAATATTAATTTTCATGATGATATTTGAATAGACATTATTTTGTGTTACATTGTGGTAATATTGGCAAATGGCAGAAGCTGAGACATTTGCTACCTTTTCTTTTGAGGAAAACCTACACAAAAACACAACGCTGAGCTGAATCCAGTTGTAGTGGAGGATAAATGTCTTAAAGGGGACCTATTATGCAAAATTCACTTTTTAAAGGTTTTTTTTTATTCAACTTTGAGTATGTAGTTCTTAAAAAACAGTCCTAGGACCAAAAAAATGCACCCAGGGGTATATTTACTGTAAGTAAATGTATTTTTAATGTATATTAATGACAAGTTTTATACTTCCAAGTTTTATACTTCCGTCATTTTGTGATGTCACAAGCCGCATGACAACCCACCAGAACCTGCGTTCAGCCCCTTACTTAGCAACCCCCGGGTGAGACTCCACCTCCTCAGTATAAAAAGCCGTCACGGTTGTTGTTGTGCAATGCGCAGCTCATTTCACAACAAGCCTCCAACAGGGCAATGGGTAGAGTGTTGGACCAGAGAGTGGGAGACCAGGGTTTGAGACACAATTTAGTTATTTATTTTTATTCGTTATGAACACGTTTTCTCATGTACCTCTATTGTTTAGCTTATTAAAGCCTTGTTAAAGCCTATTTGTTCGAGTTTCTGAGGTATTTTGACCGCTGCTGCTCCCTGCTCTGGTAACAGCATGCAGAGTGAGCGCAGAGCAGAGGAGGGAGAAAAAAGAAGCTGCGACCACGACTCTGCCTCTGGGTCTCATATGGTTGTACAACGGAGCTCCTGCTATTATTTTAGCCATGCTAACGTAAACGCTGGCTTTGGAGGGCGGAGTTAATGTCAACAGATTTTTGGAGGGCGTTACCAACAGAGCTCATTAACATAAACAGCTCTTC